TTAAGCCCATATTACCTTATTCTAGCTTTAGGACAAATCAATCTATTCATTCTATGATGTAATTAGAAGACGAAGATTATCAGAACTATGTGACATATTAGGGCAATACATTTCGAACAATCTGATCACACATATACTTGTTAAGAGCATTTATATATAAAAATAAAAGGTCAACTAGACTGGAAACGGGGTAAGAGGAGATAAGGATAATGATAAGAGTAATAATAATAATAATGTGAACACAACTCGTAACCTGATCACTCTGGATAATAAGTCAATATTACCAGGGTAGGTTCTAATTGAGTCACATTCTGACCTCGTTAATTATTCGGGTTAACATCAATTGCATGGCCAGTCTTTTATTTTTTTTCGAGTGAAAAAATTTTTCATTCTCATCTTCCAATAATTTTCATTGTTTCGTCCAATTAAATGGCTAGTTTTAAGTTCGTTATAATTGGTCGTTTATTTCTTAAAATTGGTATAGTGTCAGGACTTGACGACAAATCACATTTTTTCCAATTATGGACGGTAGTAAAGTGCGACGTGTATGCTCTGTCGTTTCTTACGTTGTCACAGAAACCGATAATCTATTCTTGAGCCCATTGTACCTCGTAGCGTTCCAATCACCTTTTGCGTCGAAGAGCGCCATTAGAACGTATGAAAGAGCTACGCATTGCCATCATGCGGTGAGAGATTCTCATTTCCATAGCGATCGGAAGCCGTGTATTAAATTCGTATGTTGAAGAAATGGCCGTAGAACACCAAGCGGTTCCTCACGGCCGAGTAGACGAAGGAGGTAATTTGATTAGTATTATTATAATTCTCCATAAAGGACCTCCGTGAACACTCAATGTCCTCCCTTCATCTTTTGTAAATTACTAACTATCAAAATAACGTCGACATGGATGCAACGTTAAACAATGACAAGGAAGAAATTGTTTTGATTAACTCAGAGGAGTTCACTGAACGAGACGATGACAATGACGAAAACGCGTATGACAACAGACTTTGCGATATTTGCAACCTTGCGCAACCGCCACGTGAAACTGCTGATGGAAGTGCCTGGATTTCTTGTCCATGCGAAGCAATGTTTCGTTTATTTTTTGCTTACGACCCATCACCACACGTCCATGGAATCCACTGTCCCATGTGCGGCGCAATAACGGAATCATAGCAACTCGTCTTTCCATGAAATTCAGAATTGTTAAGAGAACGAGTAAAGGCTTTGGAAACTAGAGTTTGTTTATTGTTTATCAAAGGATTTCGGTATCCCGCTTCAAATATACTTTTCACTTGAGCATGCAAAAGTCAAAATGAAAAGCAATAAGTCGAGGAATATGTAGCTCCCAAACGTATTTAAATCCTAAAACCTCTGTTGCCTGTAGGGAAATCTCCTGTAAAAGAGTGCAACAGCAGTCATTCAGTACTGAAAAATGGAGTGGTCAGTGATGATCGTTTGTAAACTGCTGAGTGAGTCTCTTGAACAATGAGGATATATTTCATGTTCTACGTATCAGTCTTAAATAGATTAGCGTGAATAATCTCAGTAGTAATAATAACTAACTCAGGATTATTATCACTGTCAATAAACCATCAAGCTGAACTCAAGCTCAGGTGTTCATGACTTCTCGTCAGTTATCTATGGAAAGATAGAACCGTGAATTCTAAAACAGCTACTCAAAATATTTAACCTGTACTTAGAAGCAAGAACATACCCAGAAAAATGAAAGTAACTTACGTAGTCCCTAAATATAAACAAGAACGAATGGTGAAAGCAATGGTAAATGATCAAATATCCGACCACCTACTATCTGAAGGTCTAACTAGTGTCTCTTAGCATGGCTTCTTTATAACTAGGTTAGGAACTTCATGTCTGTGGGACTTGTTTGATGAGGTTGCTTAAAACAGTGATCAAAAGAACTTATTTGTCTTAATAAACCTAAACATAAATAAGGTCTAACAAATTACCTCACGAACTATTAATAAACAGGCTTGAGTCTACCTGAAGATCCTATCCCCTTCTAAGTTCTTGAAGTTGTTTATTACGAATTAATATCAAATAAGTTAACTTTGTTACGTCTGTACGTCAACTTGAATCATTAATTAACCAAAGACCGAAATTGTCCCTTAGCCAAAACTGCCCCAAACACTAAAATATCAAAATTACGAAGATTATTGGGTTTTATTTTAAGAGAGTTCTATCAACATAAGTCTAGAATCCTTCTGTACGAAATATTTGTTAATAAACACCTGTATCTTCTGGATGATGGCTTTTGTAGTTCCCCAAGTTTCCGCCTCATACAGTAGAACTGACCTTGGTGTTGGTTGACATGTGTTTCAAGTTCAAAATTTTCTTCAATTGTGGATCTGCTGCTCTTGCGCTTTCACATCTGCATCAGATCCACCGTGTTCATCAATGATTCAACCCAAATATGTAAAGGTTTTTACATTTTACAAAACTCCGTCAAGTTTGATACGATTGGTGCATGCTGTGTTGTATCGGATAATCCTGCTTTTCCATTTGTGTATAATGAGACCTACTGCTGCTGAGGCTTCTGTTACACCGGTCATCTTCTCCTGCATCTGTTGTTACGTTTGCGATAGAAGGGCCAGATCATCTGCGAAGTTTAGACCGTCCGAATGCATCCTAGATGTCCACTGTATTCCGTGCTTCCCTTCAGATTGTGATGTCTTCATGATCCAGTCGATTACCAGGAGAAAGAGAACTCCATCTGAAGTCCCTCCGGGGGATACTGCTGGTCCCAATCACGGATAAAGGAGAATGGTGGGACATGGGGTTAGCAATCCCATCCCGTAGAAAAGTAACTCGCTAAAAAAACGACAACCGGAAAACCTGTCCATGAATAATGCTATTTTATATTTAGCAATTTGCGTCTATCTGATACGCTGAACTTGGAAGGAGTTCAACGATATTTCACGGTAAAATACAATATATTTAGACGCTACATTCTAGGACTCAAACTCTCAAGAAAAATAGGGCTTAGGACATAACTCATGGGTTAGGCTTTTTAGTCAAACTTAAAACCTGTATATTTGGTCTAAGTAACCCTACTCTTACGATCAGAAACTTGCTCATAAAGCAGCGGTATATCCAGGGATCGATACTATCAATATACCTAGATTATGTAGTTTAAATCGGATTTGGGTAGACAAATGAACACAAACAGAAGACTTACATAATTGTCTCTCATCATATCAATTGATTATATGTATTTTGTTCTTCAATTAGTCTACGAAGGCTGAATCTATCAGTAATGTTTTTATCATTCACTAGGTCCTACCTCCCATTTTGTTATTTTTCCGTTTACTTCGTAATTGAGTGCCAAATATTGGAGTTTTATAGTCATTAAGGATTTTACATCATTTAGGTAGAGCTATGCGCAACTATCTGTTACAAACATGTTCGGTACCTCACAGTCAAAAAATAACAAACGAGAAATACAAATATATGTCAGGGGAAATCAATGATGGCAATTACTTTTTAATATGAAGTATTTACTGATTTAATGATCTCCAAATGAACTTAATTACTGGATATGATACACCTTTTAAGCATAGAAAACGTCTCAGAAATATTATTTGATTTTAAAACATTTAAAATAAAACTCACAATTCAGAACATTATGGTTGAGAAATAAAATACAAATCCATGTTTTATGTAGAAGAAAACTTATACAAATAATCTTTTTTCCGTGTCAACAATAAAATACATTTATTTAAATGTTTTGTTAAAATGCAAACAAAACATTCCTTTAGACTGATCACATTTAGACTGAATTCATTACTAATGTGTTACGATACTTAAATGTAAGTGTTCATTTTTCAGAATATAAACATCAAACTTGATTGAAAATCTTGTTTTCACTTGCAAAGAATTCATTTGGATCAATTGATTCTGAAGTCGTTTGATGTTTATCAATTTCTAAATGAATGCCACACAGATCTCATAAACATCACGCTTACATCATTTGTTTACATTTTCACATAAATAACGTCAATACGCACATCAGTGTGCATATTTTCACTTTTAAAAGTGCACATGTTTTTGTGATAAACTAATACAGAAATATGTTTCAAGAGTATTGTGGTAACTTCATGTCGTATCACCTTTGCAATAAGTTTACATTACAAGATCGGTATGTCATTCAAATAGTTTACATATTTCTTTTACATCAAGGTCAATTTAATAAATATCATTAGATATTATTTTTACTAAGGGGAATTTTTCTGCAGGAATCAGTAATCACATTTCCTAATGTATTTTAAGGAATGAAAGTAGCTCTAAGTATTCAATCAGTCAGATGGTTTCCAATCCACTATCTTTGTTGACATATTGCTGAGATAGTTAATATTAGAAGTAACTAAGTTCTCACTATTTGTTTTCTATGAATTCTCCTAAGTCAAATGTTCAGGTTTTAGCTAAACTATGGAGTGAAATGTTATTCAGAAGGGTTAACGCTTATTTATAACAGTTATTTACAACATATTTTTAACCTGGATTTTAGTAATTAGACAAAAATTCAGCAACAATCACACCCATAAAAATTGATGGAATGTGATTAAGGTTTTATTAAAAGTACAGTCATTCAAAACTAATTAAGATGATTTTGGAAGTAAAAGGTAGATCATTTTCTCTACATTCAGCGTAAGCATATATCGGTTTTTCAGGCTAACCCTTAGAGTTAATAATTGATTTGGTTTTGACACAATTGCAACTCACGTACGATTGAGTTTGTTCACATTTAATTTGGTTAAGGTCCTTTGTTAACTTATTTAACGGGCAGAGTCATTCGTACAATAACAACTTATCTATGTACCCGACCGTAGCTGCTACCTTGACGCGGTGGTCGGGCTTGCCTATCATGATGACCCAACCGAGCTATATTGGCTGGAAAATATGTTCTTGTAGGTTCTATCATTCCAGGCAGGTCGATTGGAGAACGGTAAGACTAAAAGCAGCAACTCAAGGTCTGAGGGCGCCATTTTACTTTCCAAAACTACTTGACCCTCATTCATTCAGAGTACTTAGAGATTGGGGAATTAATGTTATACGCTTAGAATTCAACTGGATAGCATTAAAACCACAGGAAAACGAAATCAATCGAGAGTACTTAGATATCATTGAAAGGATTATCGACAATGCTGGATTATATGGAGTTTATATCATCATTGATTTGCATCAAGATGGATTATCGAAACGTCTAGGTGCAATTGATGCTGTGCCTAATTGGTTTATGGATAAAATAAAGCGACCACCATATTTATTTCAATACCCTTGGCCACTAACGAAAGATCCGAGTAAAAGCCAATGGTTTCTAACGTACGCCACATATGAGAGTGCACATGTATTTGAAAGTATATATAAAAATGTTTCAGGAATATGGAATTATTTTGCAGAATATTGGATGATAACAACTAGTCGTTTCGGGAAGAAAGATAATGTTTTAGGTTATAATTTGATAAATGAACCACCACCTGGAAATTTTTATTTAAATCCATTCCTTCTTTTGCCTAGTAAGTTGCATGAAGTTAACATTTCGCTATTTTGTTGAATATTAATAAAATTCTGAATAATGTTTCGTGATTGCTTTTAGTCATTGTGGATCATTAGTACTGTTAATTGATTGTAGACTACATTCCATCAAATACGTTATTTTCATCTCACATTTTGCCTGTTGATATTTTGCTGAAACAGGTAACATAAAAACGGACTAGGTTCGTTTTTCTTTATTATTTTTCGGTGTAATCTCCTACGAATCAAATGTTCTAAATTCCAATTAAAATAGAAAGTCCAATTAATTGATAAATCCCAGTTTCACTTCTGTTGGTTCGACTAAAGAATTATTGTCGCTTATATAAAAAATACAGGCAATGCTGTTTCCATTGTATTGATCAAATCAGTGAAAAGGTACATCGGCACAGAATCTCAATACTATACCTAAAAGACTAAAATCGAGAAATTCATTGCTGTCAGGTTACTTCAATGACGGTTTCGACTGCAACAGAAATCACAGAGGAATCAGTTTGACAAATATAGTGTCTAAAATATTAGCTTGAGTAATACTTCGACGTCTAACTAAAGCTCGTGAAGAGCGGACTAGAGAAAACCAGGCTGCTTTTCGACCTGGACGTGGTTGTTTAGACCAGATATTCACACTACGTCAGGTTCTAGAACACAGACTCACGTTCAGACGCCCCACAATCGTAGTATTTCTCGACCTTAAGGCAGCATTTGACTCTGTTGATCGTGAGGTTCTATGGCAGTGTTTGTCACCTAAAGGAGTACCAAAGAAGTACATTAACCTTGTAAAGGCTCTTTACTCGAGCACAACTGGTCGAGTGAGAGTTTATGGCGAACCGTCATCAGAATTGATTCCCTCAAGCGGTGTTTGTCAGGGCTGTCCACTTTCTCCATTCTTGTTTAACTTTGTCGTCGACGTGCTGTTAGAGATGACACATTCCTCGTCTAAATTTGCAGGGGTTGAACTTCTACCAGGAGATTCACTTGTTGACTTGGAATATGCCGATGACATAGTTCTATTTGTTTTAGACGCTGACGAAATGCAGTCTTCTGACCACTCTAAGCAACAATGCAAGCATGTTCGCGATGTGATTCTCCCCCTCGAAATGTAAAATGTTGCTTCAGGATTGGGTTGCATTGACACCCGAACTAATGATAGGGAGTGAAGTAATTGAGCATGTCGACCGCTTCACTTATCTTGGAAGTCTCATCAGCCCTTGTGGTCTGGTGTGTGACGAAATCCCAGCACGGATACAGAAGGCTCTACTAGCTTTTACCAACTTGCGTCATTTATGGCGTAGGCGAGATATCCGTCTATCAACCAAAGGACGGGTTTACTGCGCAGCAGTTCGTCCCGTCCTACTTTATGGCAGTGGAACATGGCCGGTAAGAGTAGAGGATATCCGTAGGTTACTAGTATTTGACCATAGGTGTCTTCGAAATATTGCTCGTATATCCTGGGACTATCGAGTAAGTAACGCAGTTGTTAGGAAACGGGTACTAGGTAAGGATGGTAAATCAATTGATGACGTAGTGAAACTTCATCAGTTGAGATGGCTGGGACACATGTTACGTATGCCCAACCACCGACTGCCTCGATGTGTGATGTTCAGTGGTATAGGAGTAGGTTGGAAGAAAGCTGGAGGCGGCCAGACCAAAACATGGCACAAGTCCATGAAGTCACTGACAAGTGGACTGAGTCATGTTGGTAGGTGTAGACTACTTGGTTGGGAACCGCGAGATGATAGCATCCGATGGTTAGAGACTCTGAATGACATGGTTGAAAATCGTTTGCAATGGCGCAGGTGCATCCACTCTCTGTGTTCCCCAAATTCTAATCTTATGAATTCTTCATGTCCCCGCTTGTTTTCTCTTTCCATATTTATTTCACTGTATTATACTCCTTGAATAACATCTTTAAACCCTAATCTTTCCGATTACTGCTTATACTCTTACCTACCTCTACCACTGCGAGATTTGAATCGACAAATGCATCTCTGTGCTAATGTGGTGTGGCGATTCGAACTGATGTACATACATACGAAGTTCTAAGCTTTTACTTACTGACTGATCTTTATTATTGTTGTGCTTGTATGAAATATATATGCTTGAACATTGCTTACTACCTACGCATATATTCCTTCTGCTAGCTTCACATTGAAACCTGACTCAATAGGAGTTATGAATAAGTTATTTTCGGATTAGAATATTATCTTTATAGTATCTGTACCGAAAACCCAACATATAGAGCGGCTTCTGAGTTACAATATCCTAGCCAGATACAAAAAGTCGATTCAAACACATATGTATGTTAGTTTCAAAAGAAATTTGCTGATTGATACAAATATATGAAACGACCACTTTCGCTTCAGCTTGTCTGGAGTTTTACGTCGCTTTGTTCTTGACATTGTTCGGATGTGAAAATATCTCTCATATTTTGCAACATGCCATTGTGACAATATCTCACTAACAAACAAAATTATCAGTTTAGAGTTGTGGAAACTGTCGACTTCCTATTGTAAATCTTGAAACACTGGATGGCCATCTCGTCTTAAAACGTGATTTTTCAACAGTGCGCGTCCCGCTTGCAGGACCATGGATGCTCACTGCTTAGAAGTCAAATTTCAAGACTGAACAGCCTTCCAGTGCTTCCAGGTAACCAATGGTGATCTGACATTGGTTGGTTCATTACCTCAATAAAAATGAAATCGCAAAACATAATTATGAAATCTAAACCTGTGATTGATAATAAGCAGCTATCACATAACTCATACGTTTCATACGAATTGACAGTATTTGAGTAGTTCTAATGGCAATCAGATTCTAGAAGCAAGTGATCAATCGTAGCCATGGTTATCAATAAAATATTTACTAAAGCAATTAAACGAACATCTTATCATTTTTAACCTGATTCATCCAGAAATAACATATGGCGACTGCAGTATTGAATATTAGAAAGTAGATGACAAGCATAAAATATATTTTATCATAATGACAATTAATACCAACAGGTGAACTAACAACGAACAAAACGATTTGTCTATTGTCTTTAGCTATTCAATATTTTGTTGGTGATAATTTAGAACACATAAATAAATGGGCAGAAAATGATAGTAATATCATATTAAGAATAAAAAGATGTTATGTAGAACTATGTTACGTGTTTATAATTTCAGTCAGTGTGATTTCGGAATTCGCCATCTTCATTATTACGATTATCACTCATTCTGTCTGTTTTTCCACCGTGAATGTAATCAACAAAACAGACATCGAGATAAGATCCGCCAAAATTAATTGACTTACTCATTAACCTATACTATGCATGATGCCATGTTGGGTGATTGATTTGTTCACATCGTTTAATCTCAAAAGAAGACTTACAAATGAAGAACATTTGGTGATTATTAGAAGAGAATAGATTTCCCTGATATTGATATTCTTAACTTGAATACAAACACGAAGGCTTAGATGTAAGATGACCCATTTAATAAGTCCCCAATAAAATTGAACGAGCGTCATGAATTTCATTACCTACCACAATCTATCTTCCCGAAAACATTCTGTCCGCAACAGATATGCTTATTTTTGTCAACTTTCACTTATATTCATTCTCAAAATCTATTTCAATTCTTACAATTCCGATCTTTTTCATTTTATATTCGGACAGATAATGCAGGTCACAGTCTCTTATCATTTTATGATTATTTGGTAAATGTTATTCGCCAAACAGACAAGAATACATTGATATTTTACGAGAGTGTAACTTATGGAATATATTTTCCATTTGTTAATGGAATACCTGGTACTGGTATCCAACGTGTTCCCGGTTTATTACAAGATGAGACGGCCAGAAAGAAGAGTGTATTATCTTATCATTACTACTGTTGGTTGTTGGAATCGACACCATCTACAGAGAATATGCCATCATGGAAACGATATTTGTGTGATAAAGTGAGAGTTCAATTACCTGGTTTATTGTTTGTAACGCATATGCATTCCAATGTCTCGATGCTTTAATATCAACATTAACCAACTGATATTTTTAGCACAAGCTAACTGGCTTTCATTTTATTCGTAACTTGATTATCGGACTTGACTGGAAAATTTTTAAATCTGTTGTCACTCCTAATAATATTTTCTAAATAAATAAATGATTGGATCTATATTCAGAACAGCTTCATTCAATCAAGTTAAACGTCGAAGGACCGCTGACCGAAAGTATTTTCATAATAAAATGCCATTTACATTTCACACCATATCCTGACGTTAACCCGACAACTATTCACTAGTCTGTAGGGAGTGCTTAAAACCCTACCAGAAATCAAACCTAAAGCCTTAATATGTCTTAGCGAGTGCGTTTTCAGATCAGCACTTTAGCATACGATGATTGTCAATTTAGCTTCAGTCAGCTGAATTCCTTGCGTTATTGTCAAACCCAAAATTTAATTATTTGAACAAATTTCATATAGGAAGAACGCCATTGATTATTGGATGTGAGTTAAGCAACATAGAATCCTCGATATTCTGTTAAGTTTTTGCAAACACCAATCATGTGAAAGTAGGCTTTAGCTTCAGTAATTGATATCTCTCTTGAAAATATTATAAAAATGAAGCATTAGATCTGCTGAGATTTTACTCTTGATCGCCTCATTATTAGATATATGCCTTTCTAAATATTCCAACTAATGTCGATCATGATATTAAAATGATTGATTGACCACTCGAATCCTTTAGACCACGAATATTTGTTTAGTCGTAATTCTGAGGTGCTTCACAATTTCCACCTTTAAATAGTTTATTAATGCCATTGAGTTACTCGATGACTTATGAAAAGAGTTATCTGTTGGTTTTGGTTTGTTAGTCCTTGACAGAAATTTCGAAGCGAAATTATCTCTCATCTATGTAAACGTATGGAGTTATTATCGCACACGTTTCATTTATATAGCTGACCATTTTCAATACGCTTATTAGATATGTAAATATTGACTAGGGAAATAAATTTGAGTGAACTCAGGCAATTACTTGTAGCTCATTTTTGTTCCCGAAACCATGTAGCGCACTAAGAAATTTCACTAGATCCGAATTACAAATCGTTAAGCCATATCGACGTTGAGATATTTGTCATCTATGACATTGCATGATCATCGAGCGCCATTGTGAATTGACTTAACAGTAATATTTAATGAGTTATATTTTATGTTAGGGGTCTACATTTCCATTTCCTACCTTCAGGGATAAATGTTTGTGCTCTAACATCTGTTGTAATTGTGTGTGATTACTCCTGAGGTGTTCCGCTATAAGACAATGATTCATATAAATATTTCTTGTTCTATGTAATACATTCACTGATGCTGATTCTCTGTGAAAACCGATCCGCTGACAAAGTATAGATTGGATATCAAACATAGAAATGATAATATTAATAATAATTAAAATAATAACAATAATGAAAACAACACCAAAACATCCACGTACTTCAGAATTTATTTACTTAGAATTGATTGGAAAACTTCCATAAACTAGCTCATATTTATCAATTACCAATCACCAATTCATTTATTTTCACCATAAAAATACTCACAGTAAACAATATGATGATGATGAATAAGTTTGCAAAATTGTTAGAACGATTGTGTACTTTGTAATTGATTAAACCAAGTTAAATAAGATGAGAAATTTCTACATTCCTTCTATACAGTAATAGCATTTATGTTCTATGAATCATCCTAACTAGCAAAAGTTATAGTAATGGGTGTGTCTGAAGTTGGGCGTAGATGAATAAACAACAATGACGAATAATTCTATACAACAATGATAAGTATGGATTCTGTCATCTTTGTACTCTTGAGATATAGTGAATTAGTCAAAACCACCTATAAACTAACAGTGGAAGTGTAAATAGAAGCATTAGATTAATATGTACTCTGTGTTACCTTTCAAAGTAAAATTAGCTATTTTGTAGCTGTGATTAAACTCAGTTGTTTATTGAAACCCATTCATAAACACCATAGGATTTTGCATACAATCGTCCACATGTTCTGTGTTGACACAATCTCCAGTTTATGAAGTAAAGTGAAATTCTAATCTGATTATTACATCGATAGATATAAGGGGAAGTGCAATTCTACTCTGTTATTCGCACCAACCTGTATGACATCAATTGTAAAAATGAAATTGACAAACACGTTATTTTGTTTGATCGAGCACCCATTTGCGGTCTGCACATACTGAATGTATGATGTTAGGAAAAACAGTGAATATTTCTTTTAAAATACAAATGGTAGTTACAACTGATATGGATAAATGTTTAATGTGTCCTTAATAAATGATGAACTGATTGGGTTGAACAAAACACCAGAAAACAAACTCAACTTAATTAAAGTGCTGTAGAGTAATCTAGGAATGAAAATCTAAACACTACGATTTGACATGAAAACTGTAATTAATAGTAATAGGTGCTAATCAGTTTATAAAATAAATGTTTGATGATTGAATGAACTGACATGATGTGATTTCATGAATACACTACCAATCAATGTATTCAAACCGTCCTTCATACTGTGTGGAATTTCATAACTAATTTCATTCTTCATATATTTGTGGTGATTTCTGAATTACGGCTCAGTCATAAATGTAATCAGTGATAGGTCAATGAACAAAATGATTAATGTTTTATTGCTTTGACGCAGTGTATGCAGTTTATTGCAGTCTAGTTTTATTGTAATAATCATTCACATACTTAATCAATGTTAACATTGATATTGCTTGTGTAGCTTCTCTTGAATTATGCATTCAATAATGCGAGAAGTATAGTTAAATACACTGGTGGAGGACGGTTTTTAACAGAATTCGGTCTGTGTCTTCCTGATGGCAATCCAGATTCAATAAATACGGTTGAATGTAACGCTGTGATGAATGCAGCCGACAGGAACTTCGAATCCTGGACTTATTGGGACGGAAATGAATTATTTCCCAACTTAATTGTAGACAACATTTCCGTAGGTCTTATTATTGATAAAAACTTTTTTTGAATTTATGTCAATTTTTTATTGGAGTCATTTTGTTCTGCACGCCGAACGAATTAATAATTTTCATTTTGGACAGTACCATCAGAATAAATTCAGGAAATAAATGGTATTTCCCATACTCGTATTGTCGTAGACGAGAACTCAGGTGGGGAAATCCAATTTGTCGTTTAGTGCACAATCAAACAGTGGCTTTGCAAAATATAGAAATCACACATATATAACATTTACACATCTTCGCGTTGTCCTTTACATAATCCATCATTCCTCTAATTCTGTTGCTATTTCATTTCCTCTCCGATTCCCTTTCTGTTCTCTTCATTTCATTCTTCTGCTCTCGGTATTATATTTCCGATTGTTCCTAAATGCTTCTTAAAACTGTCAGCATACTAAGCATCCACCAAATTCTTCCCCTCGCCCTCCAAACGGTCGCTCCTGTAGATGTTTTGCATGCCGTGAGGCTTTCTTCTTAAACCGGACGTCCCACTTCTTATCGCCATCCACAGCGTCTGGTACACCCAACACCACATTGCCAGAACACTCCACTTTACGTCTACTTCCTAGGCCGAACCACATAAACTAATCACTCATCTCTCGGCCTCCCAACGGCGTCCGCAGAACTGCATCCTTTCCACCTCCCCTTTGGCAGTAATACCAAGTGTAGCGAACTCAAGTGGGGAACCCTGATAAACTCAGAGATGAATATCTCACCAAATCAAATGTTCTATGTTTATGCTTTTGATTTCGAAAATTTCTTTTAGAGCTTAAACAGCCCACACAAAATAAAACTACTAATAAATTAAGTGATGTATAGTTGGGGAAAGTGTTAACATGACAGTAAATAGTGAGTTCAAATACGTTGTATATTGCTTATAAAATTAAGTGTTTACGTTATCTTATTCACAAAGAGCTTAGTCGGCGATTCAAACAATTACTTTGTAAGGAACATATTCTGAAATCCCTCTTCCAGTCCTCATTATCTACATTCTGCTTGAATTTCATGTTATCCGAAATATTACAGTTAAGTGAACAAGAACAGAGAAGGAATTTATGCAAACCGATTTATCAAGTACGCGTAACTGAAAAACTGTGATACACCCACCTAGTGTACGGTATTTGCTCTCCTGTAAGTTTCTTCATATATCAGATCTCCAATCAATGTTGGACAAATAAAGTCTAGTTAGTTCCCGACTGTCCATTGATTACCTCTTTAAGTATTACTATTACTACTCTCTAAACTGAACTGTTTAAAGTATTCTTCAGAACTAATGACCTCAGTCATGTTGGTCCCTGTCACAATCAACTGTCTCAACAATGCTTTCTTCGTTTATTTAATAGAATTCTAAATATACACTCCCGCTATTTTGTATGGAGCAGGAACTATTATAGTCCACTGACTAACCAATGCATACGTTTTCTTTTGTGGGTGATTCTCACTACCATTACATGACTTCAGAGTTTTGCAGTTCAATCAAAAAAGAATAGGTGTAGAAAAAGCAAAGAATGAAAGGAGCTAACCACTATTCAAATGTCTTTTGCCTAAACACACATCTCTGTGATCGACAAATTTCCACTGTACACCATCACATGGTCAACAATCTTCTAAGATCATGTATAAGCGTAAGTTAAGATATATCATGAGTTGGTGAAATCGAAATCCTTCGTAAACTACTAAGGAATTCGACTTAGCAGAACGCTCAGCCTTATGGAATTCACGACAATGAAACATGATTATGGAGTATTAATTATCGTGATGATGGTTTTTGAGTTGGACCTTTTCGTACACATTTCGTATGGCCCTTGATTTCTCTGAAGAAATAATACCACACTTATTTTCTTGTTCACTGATATTCACGAAGAGAGATCGTGTGAGCGTCCGATCGCTGATGTTCTCTTCTGAACTACATTTCTTTAACTTTTCAATACATATTAATGCTTAACTTTACAATTATACATTATTTGCCTCCCTCGTTTGTTTGGCCTTGGATAACTTCGGAAAACTCCAGTATTAGGCAACATCAGACTTTCGTTAACCGTCTGCTGTGCTTAGTGAAAATATTTTCATCAGGTTACGATAACCCATCTCATGAAAACAAATCGAGAAAGTTTGTCATTAATAATAATACCCTAATGACCAAAGCGCAGTAAAACAACAATTGATTTGAAGAATTCAGTTCGCTTCTGATAGTTTTTTTTTCAATGTCATTTATGATAGAGTTCTAAAGTAAGCTTATGAACAAAAATATATGGTCGAAAATCATCAACAGCTGACTCTATTTCAGTAGTGATATTAATTTTAGAAGAGTCATTTTACTTCTTACTGCAGTCACCTAACTACTTAATCATTAGTCTTTGATCATTCATGTATGTCAGATACGATAAAACACTAATTAGTAATGGTTCCTTTAGAAATATTTAAATAACTATTTCATCCTAGAATATCTCTCCAAAGTTTTCTTACTTCCTTTGGCTATCAAGCTATCAGGTCATGATTCACACTGTCTTCAAATTAAATAATTTGTATATGTACTTCACATTAATGCAGTAGCTTGTTTCATTTCGTTATTTCATGACAGTAAATAGTGAGTTCAAATACGTTGTATATTAGTTATAAAATTAAGCATTTATGTTATCTTATTCACCATGCAGTTGAGATCATTCAGTCGTACATATCCACAATCAACTGCCGGTCAACCTGTCAAACTGAGATTCGATGTCGATTCAGGTGTGTTTTATTATGCTTTTGTACCCACACAGAAGTATTGTACAAACGTGGACACAGCATTGTTAGTTGCAGAGATTTTTGTTCCAATGTCGATTCATTATCCAAATGGAGTGAGAACTCGTTTTGTACCAGAACAATTATATTATAAAATGTATGAAAATAATACTAATTTAATGTTTGTCTATGCACCATGTACGTTGATCAACACAAATATTGAACTTATGGAAATAACGATCATACCAAACCAAACACAATATAAGCATTCAGACAACAATTAGTCATTTACCAACTTATTCGAAATCTGTATCAATATTGTTAATTGTGAACTCCTTGATATTTTCACATCTTTCAACATATTTTGACTAAAGAAATATCACATGATAAAATTTGAATCATTACTGTAATACACCTAGACTACAATAAACTGCATACGTTGTGTCAAACTAATAACACATTAATCATTTTGTTCATTGACCAATCACATATTACATTTATGACTGAATCGTAAGAAATTGTGAAAAAGCAGACGTTCAATGTTCTCCAATTCCAAGTGATTATCATTACTTTTACGTTCAAATGATTATGACGTACAGTTAAATTATTTAGAAAATTTCAAATACCACAAAAATAAAATGTTTCTCATCAAAACCCATTTTCGCTTCCAATGCCTTAATATTCTATATATTCGACATGTTTCAAATTTCCCTACTCATTAAATTCTCAATTGTTAACGTGATCTTCTGTAGATGTGATCATAAAATAGTCACGTATTTTCTATAAAACATAAAAGTCTGTATATATTGTTGTTCCAAAAAATGCATATGTGGTAATGATATGTGTTAATCAACGACTAGATTGATAAGTTAAATTCTTTATCAAGTCGTAACACAAGATTCAGTTCATCAATTTTTTATTGTTATAGAAATATAAGACGTGGTTACATTTCTTCTCATAAGCACTTGATTCATCCAAACAGCAAGAATATAGCTACGCATACAATACCCACCTATTGCCACTTGTAACTCACGGTAGATGAAATTAACTGTTAACTGTACTGAAGCATCAAATCACTCAATTGATATACGCGCAAAATCGAAGTTCACGAGTCAACGATTTATCAGAGATAGCGGTTATTTATAGAATAATGTACGAACATTAGTTACACACCTCAACTTGTGAGGTGTCTGAGGCGTTTACCATGTCCTTTTGTCTGAAATAAGAAGGCTTTGATAGTGCAAAAGTGACAGCCGTTGGCTGTATCATAACTTCATAACGGTTTATTAACAAGCAGAAACGGAGCTAAAAGCAAGTGATATGGAAACTGTTGCGTTTAAACAAGGGTGATGAGACCCGTTGACCTGACTCCATTTAGTGTGTACGTATGTTTGCTATCGCTGATTCTCGTATATCATCGTCGACTTAAATCACGTTAGTCCATAACGGAATTAAATAAGTCAATTAACGAGAATGGCCATTGGATACATATATTTTGTATATGAAGTGAATGAAACAGAGCCAAGCAAAAATGACGCACAGGGAGGATGGCTGGGAAGCCAACTCCCCTTTGTCAAGTGTTACTCAATATTTATAGTCAGACAAAATAAAGCTACAGACATGTGATTAATGGAATAAGAAGGGCACACACATATACGCTCATATAAAAACAGTCTAGATTGATAAGCGAATAAATAACAAGGTCAATGTATGGCTCGAGTAGAATGAATAAAATGGGATGTCCGGAAGCTAGAATATGGTATATGGGCTTGGCATAATAACTGACACTACATAGCCCCCCTGTAGAAAATAGCACATTTAAAAAAATGTCTGTTTTCGAAAATAATACTCAAGTGATATGAAGTTAACGTTAACAATAAGTAGCCAAAAGGTTGTACAACACTCGATAAAGTACAGTGTCACACGAGGGGTGAGCGTATTATATGAAAATGTCATACTTATGCAAAAGAATACATGAATATAGAAAAGACGCGGACAAAAATGGGAACGTTAGCATGCGAATATGAGCAAATTAATGAGCGTACAAAAAATTAACATGTACTATGCTGTGATTGTCTGAACGATAAAATAACACGTTCGTATGAGCGATTCAAAATATCGTGAAAATAGTGATAAATTGTTTGTGGGTAGGACAGCGAAATAAATCGTCAAAATGAGTCGAGTAGAATATGACAGAAATCGGTCTGTGATGCT